GGAGTGGCGGAAGGCAAGCAGTACAACGCGATCCACGATGCCAACAGCGGCGAGTCCCTGAGCATACAGTCCTCTTCGAACTCATCGCTGTCAGCCAGGTGGGTCTCCTTCCCCGGTGACTTATTGGCGTGCCTCGGTGACGTAATGACTTTCTTCGGTGACGTAATGACTTTCTTCGGTGACGTAATGACTTTCTTCGGTGACGTAATGACTTTCTTCGGCGACGTACCGACTTTCTTCGGTGACTTATGACTTTCTTCGGTGACTTATGACTTTCTTCAGTGACGTAATGACTTTCTTCTTCGATGACTTCGGTGACGTAATGACTTTTCGGTGACAATGACTTTCCTTGGTGACTTAAAGACTTGCCTCAGTGACTTACTGACTTTCCTCGGTGACGTAATGTAATTTTTTCGGCGATTTAATGACTTGTCTCGGTGACTTAATGAGTGTTTATACAAGTGTTGTTTAAGAGTTTTTGACAGCTATATAGGGGGTCATTATGAATTTTCGTTATATTTGTTTTTCTTTCTTTCCTTTTCCTAGTTTTTGTGTTTTAATTATTTTTTTCAAAGTAAGTGTACATCAGTGCTAAATATTGAGACTCTCCATTTCCGGACTTAGAGATATGTTTTAGACATGGGACTAAATAGCGACAACTTTCATATATTGTTATCGCGTCGTTAGCCCTTTTTTCATCTTTAAAAAAGTGAACTCCTCCCCAGGCGAACCGGCTTGTGGCTCGCTGTCTCAGGCGCCCTCCACCTCCTCATCTACTTGACCTCCACTCTCCTCATGCTTATCGCCATGACCATGAACATCTACCTCATCCTGTCCATGGGCGTCGGGGCCTCCTGCGGGAAAATCGCCACCCTCATCGCCCGCAGGAGGATGGAGGACGGGCCGTGCAAGTGACGCCAGAACAGGGTTTCCCCCAAACCCTGGACGGTGGCGGAGGCGGTGACGGAGGAGGAGGCGGTGACGGGGGCGGATAGGAACGGCCTCCCGCACACCACGCCCTTCTGAGGGTCCTCGCTGCGATCCTGGCTACGATGGAGGGAGTCTATGCGCGTCACTTGAGTTTGGTCGAATTACTCGTGAGAATACTATAAATATATATATTCATACCGGTAAGATGGTGAAAAGAGTTAGATATGAATAAATATTTTTTACTAGAGTGTCCCGGTGACATAAATTAACGGGAACTCTAATGAATTGGATTCTGCAACTATCAAATAAATATCTCTCTAGACTCCAAAGCTCGCAATCCTTTCAAAATGCCCACAGAAGTTAGCTGCTCCATCTGTCTTGGTTTCAGAAAAAAAAAGATTTAGGTGTAAAAGGGGCATGTTAAGCAGTGATAGGGTAAATGCTATAAAACTAAATTGAAATTCTTTTAAAATTTTAAAATAACACAAATAAGCATGTGAGTCAGTAAATACACGCCTTTGCTGATGAAATGAACTATGATGTAATAACTTTTTGAGACAAACGGAAATGCCACCATATATTTCTCAAGCGTCTGTTTGCCTTAGTGATGAGGGAGTTGTGAACATTTAATAAGGAATTGGAGAAATTTATTAAGGAGCGGGCGAACAGTCTGGAAAATACGTGAATTAGATTAATAAATGTGATTATAATACTGCACAGTTTGCACCGTTCTGTGAGTAATAGCTTAATAAATAATAAACAAAGGAGAGGGTTAATATATATATCCATACAGTACACACACATACACGCGCACGTGCGCACATGTATGCATATATATATGTGAATCGGAAAAATCCGGTAATCCAGCAGAACGTACTTTTGACTGGATTGCCGGCTGAACCAAAACGCAATTAACTGTGGTGTACCATTTTAATATAGCTGTGAATATAGGATAATTTGTCGAAGTTCACTGGCTTTCCTCCCCTCCCCCCCTTTTTTTTTACTCCACCACTGCAACGGTGATTTACTGCTTCGGAAGGGGCGCATGATCAATATTCAACTACATCAAGCCTTACAAAATCTGTGATAATATATAATTATAATATTAGTCAAACTCATTAGGAAAGGAACATGAAATCATGATAGCAGCAGATCATTATTATGAACTTTGCTTATGCACATGTACACACCCGTGGACGTGCAAGTACATTCACAAACACATTCTAACAAACAACTAAACACACGCACAATAAACATTACTCAATTTAGAGTTACAAAGTTAGTGTTGAGATCAGTGTTAGCATAAATGTATTGCTCTCACACGTTATATGTTTCTGTGGTAAAAAATCCGTCTATTAACGTTTTAAATATACACACACTCATTGCAGTCATCACACTTTTATATACTTATAGGTGTGATGATACATATATATCCTAAAAGAGTATACTTTCTGTGGTAAATGTTTTTAGATAAAACAAGCATAGAGAAGATATTATATGTTTACTGGACCAGAATAAATGTTTAATCTATATTTTTCTTCACTAGATGTATAATAAAGGTTACTGCATTTTCATGAGTATTCGTTTTCCTTTTGTTGATAAGAATGACAATTGATATTCATATACAAATATGTAGAGAGATAGGCGTTTACATTTCATCTTTTTGAAACTCAGTTTATCTGTATTTAATGTGTATTTATGTCTACATTTACACATTATTTATCGTTTTCACTTTCTTTATTGGTTTTAACATCTCTACTGTATGTTCTTTCTTAACACACAACTGACTGGATTGAAATGAAAACAAACTTTATGCATAAATTAATACACTATGGAAAATATGAACTGCCTCGGGACTGCTTGTTCGTTCATATGTTATTACGTTTTTCAAGCGTTAATTTCCAGTAAGTTTTGCCTCAGTTTTGCCCACTGTAGGGGATCAGCCCTGCCTTGGACCTCAGCCCTCGCCTCAACTAATTTTACTGGGTCCTCTCTTCTCTTTTCCTTTTCCTTCTCTTCTTCATCCCCTCAGTCCTGTATGACCTTGATGTTTAGCACGTTTATTTGTTTTAACTTTCATCCGGTCTTGATCCCCTTGTCTTTGATGTCTAGCACATTTATTTGCTTTGACCATTAACCATTTTCCTCAGTTTTGAGGACTGATAAATCATTGGGATTCTCTTTTGATCTTACATAATTGCGCGCGTGGTAGGAGAAAAGGGTAAATACATAGGGTAAGTTTTGGTATTTTTTTATCAAATATATATAAATAAATATTTCAGTATGAAGAGTTGAATACATCATATTAGGGCATTACTGTAAATATCTAAAGTAGTGGTAAACAAAATGATTGGCACTTCAAGTCAATATTGATGAACATGTAAAGGCTAAATGATATTAATTCGATGGTAAAGATTATGTTTAATCTGAATGGCAGATTATTTATGAAAACCGGTATCAGAACGACAAATTTACAATGATAAAATGATATCCAGATGCGTATTTGTGCTTGTAAACTATGTTGCGGTTGTAAACTATGAATGAGTTTGGGCTTTTTTATAACTATCCGGCGTAGAAAGGCCTGCACCGTGTTTGCTTTGCCCCGTCTTGATTCTCTGGAGCGTCTGCAAAATATGTATTCTGAAGGAGAGTTTCTGGTCTTCGCCCAGAGTCCTGACGGCCGGAAGTACTGACATGAAGAAGTCCCTTTCGTCGTCCGGCTGCTGCTGCTGGCACTGATGGCGTTCCTCCGAGTGCCAACGCGGCTTCGCGCCGAGGATCAGCCGCCTCCTCTTCTCGCTCGGCTCGGAAATCACGTCTCCGTTGACGGCCTTCTGCGGCGTGCCCTCCGTCGCGTCTGTGCTGTGGGGGTGGGGGGCAGCCGCCTTTCTCCCGACGACCCTGTTGAGGAAGGAGAGCCACTCGAAGATGTAGCGACGGGAGGTCGCTCGCCGGACGCTCTCGCTCTTGCCCTTCCGGCAGCCCTTGGTGTAGGAGTCGCAGAAGCTCTTCCAGAGGGCCTGGGTCTCCTTCCCTGCAACAGAGGCACTCGTCGGTGTCAGCAGGGGGGGGGGTTCAAAGGGGATTCAGACAGGAAAAATAACAATGAACAGCTAATGATTAATAATGGACAATTGCAGCGTGGACAAGTATCCATAAAAAGACGCACAGTTACACACTCGCAGTGCATCCATGAATGTCCTTATGTCTGAATGCATGAATATATGTATTTATGTAAGTAAGTGTGCATATCACATCGGCTTGTCGAATGCTGAGTAGATCATACACAGAACGTACTCATTTGCCTTAATGGACGAGGGCGCAAAAGAATTTAATACCACATGCAAATGTTTCTCAAAAAAAATGCAATTACAGTATAATCATTTGGAGCTGATTGTCAACTTCATACATTTAACTGCTCTCGCGTTGCTCTTCTACTGCGCAAATGGTTGTCCACCATGATTCTTTATCCTTTAGAAAAAGTCTAGAATAATATTGCTCTTTCATGGAGTTTGACTGCGCGGGCTTCAAAGCGACGAGGCTTTTACACCCTGTGATGATGGCGCTCGGGATTATTACAAAGAAGCAGGCGGCTGTTGCGTCACAGACAGCGGAAAACAAAGGCTGCGTGGAGTGTTCATTATCGGAAATGTGTTGCACATTCCAATGGCCTTTTAGTGCTAATTCTGAAACTGGTATATCCAAATGCAGGAATCAACGGCGGATTGCAAAGCCAGAGGAGCAATGTGCAGGTATTTGTAAGCGGCTATATCTATATCTAAGGTCATTTCCATTTGCTGTCTTACGAGAAATTCAATGATGGTGTGAATAAATGTAATATACACATAAATACATATATTTTTTTTGTTACTGCATTAGTTACTGCATTAGTGTTCTCTCTCTCTCTTTGTCTGTCTATATCTCTTTATCCCTACAGCTGTCTACCTGTTCATTTTTTCTATATATCCATTTATCTATTTATACATCCACTCATCCATCTACGTGTATGTATATATATATATATATATATACACATATATATATATATATATATATATATATATATATATATGTATACACACACACACACACACACACACACACACACACACACACACACACACACACACACACACACACACACACACACACACACACACACACACACACACACATACACACACACACACACACACACACACACACACACACACACACACACACACACACACATATATATATATATATATATATATATATATATATATATATATATACACATATATATACACATTCATACCTACATACATGCATACATTCGTACGTTCATAAGTAAGAAGATATAATGCTGTAAAGCATTTGATATAAAGATGTAAATATCCTTTCTGACAATGACTCAATCCCTAGGAATGATAGGGACAAATGCTAATCGATTTTACGAAGGCTCATCACTCAATATTATGATTATATTCTTTAAAAAAGATCACTAGAGCGAAAGTGGACATGGAAGTTGAAATCTGATATCAAAAATTAATTTGGCTTCATAATTTTAAATAGGCGCGATATAGTGAAAATTTTGTTAAGAAAGTAAATGTTGGTAATGAACATTATATATATATGTATGTATATATATATATATATATATATATATATATATATATATATATATATATATATATATATATATATACGTAGATGGATGACTGGATGAATAAAAAGATAAATGAATATACAGCCAAATTGAATAGCACCTCAGAAGGGAAAGAAACAAACTCATACGTAAACCGCAGCCAAATTTACCTAATCTGACGACCAGAGCGGTAGAATTTAACATTAACATCCAAAACAGATATTCACTTCTCAGTGACGAAGATCTCAACATTGACTAAATCAGCAAACAGTTCAGTGACATAATAAAGGAAGCTGCACTTGAAGTAGGCGGTAAGAACGTCAAGCAAAGCTCCAGCAAGTTCTCATAGAAACTAAACAGCTTATACAAAAATGTAGTCATGGAAGTATCGTCAAATAGTGACAAGATAGAATTAGCCGAAATAACAAAGACTACAAATAAAAAGATGAGAGAAAATTACGGAGATTCAATACTCAAGTAATAAATGAAACAGTGATCTCAGGTACCAGTATGAAAACAGCTAAAAGGAGACTCGGAATAGGGAGAAATCAAGTGTATGCAATAAAGAAACCAGACGGAGAAGTGTCATATAATAAGAATTAAATCATAAGAGTAGTGGACGACTTATACAGGGATATATATAGCTCAAATGAACAGCCACAAATAGAAGCGAATACGGCAACTAGAGGGAAGAGAGGGAAAACCCCAGGTGAAGATGGAATTAGTGCCCAGAGAGAGATGGAGAGGTTGATGCTGGGAATTAGCCTAAGAGATCAGATGAGGGCGACGTGAATCAGGGAACAAACAAAAGTCGAATATATACTTGTGAGCATCAAAATGAAAAGAAAATGGTAATGGGCAGGTCATATATGTCAGAGACAGGACGACAGATGGACAGAGAAAGTAACAGACCTGTTTATAGATAACATAAAGAGGCCAAGGGTCAAACCAATGACAAGATGGCGTGACGGAATAAGAAATTTGGGGCCAAGACTTGAAAAAACGCGACAGACAAAGTTGGAAAAGATTGGGAGAGGCCTACGTCCAAAAGTGGATTGATTCAGGCTGATGATGATGTTCTGAGAAGGAGTTTGAGACAAATTTCAGCATTTGAGAATATTCTGAAACATTCTTAAGGGAATATGAGTAATTTCCGGTCTTAGATTATTTTGCCTGTCTAAGAACATTCGTGGATACCGCTCCCGGTCCAGCCGCGCTCTCCCGCTTCGCTCTCGCCTACACGCCCTCCCCACCCGAGTAATTATTTCCCTGGTACAGTTTATTTTGGGTTATTATCATCTATATATAATTGCTATCTAGTTGCTTGTTTGGTTGACTGTTAATGCTCGAGTATATTGATTAATTATTGAAACTTAACACGCATAGTTCATCATCATCAATATGAAAATAACATCGACAGCAATAATAATAACAAAATGATAATGGTACTGGGGATAAAAATAACACTAATTTCTTGTTTACCTATTAAGAAGAGCATATGATTCCGTTAATCATGATGATAACCATGAAACAATAGTAATAGTATTGTTAATTAGGATAGTTATTAGTGACAACAACAGTGATAATGTTACACCTAATACTTCTGTTAATAATAGTAGCGGGTGTAATGGTACCAATGACAAGGGCTGCGGTTCTGATGGTTATGATAATGGTGATAATGATAATATGATGGCTATTATCATCATAACTATAATTCGCACTATTGCCAGCATGCCTATCATAATCATTTCGATTGAAAACAACGGGAAAAATAGAAAGATCAGAGATTGTATTAAATAAACAAACAAACAGATGAGTGATAACCCAACCGAAATATCACAAATCAATCATTCTAAACAACTATGACTCCCGCACCCCCCAAAAAAAATAAAAATAAATAAATAAATAGATAAAAGAAAAAAAAAATGTTAAAGGTTTGC